TTAGATACCCATGGTTCCAAGAATCTTGTTTTTTGGCTCACTTGATTCGTTATGTTACCGCCCAGCATATTACAGATTCCTTGGAAAGCATTATGACATTAAATGATGTTACAGCCAACAAGCCTTACTTAGATTATAACTCCTTGAGCATTATGTTCATTAGACAGAAGCATACAATACAGTTGAAAATTCCCCCAAAATGTGTACCTGTGCTGTACAACTATATATATATATTTTCTGAAGTCAAAAGCATACAATCTCTTTCAATGATCAAAATGGTAATCTTATACATTATTAAAATCGGTACAACTAATACTCGTACTGTACAATTTTATCTACATCGCCCTTCAGGCAGGGTCATTACACACAGGTTACGAGATTACATTTCATAAAGGAGCTAGAGATATGATGTGCAGTAAAAGAATTTGAGCAGAACAGCGAAAATTTCTATGGTCTGTTGCATGTCCTTATCGCCTTTGGTGTAAAAACATTAAACATATCTTTAATGTTTCATTTCTTAGAGAGGCTTTTAAATATTTTTAATAATGATGTTTAATTTTAGAAGTTTTTAAAGGTTTAATAAATGTCAAACAAAGACATTTGATCAACTGATGAAAACATAGATTCACCCACCCTCAATAGATGGCAGTACGGGTGGGCCGTTGTCGACTTGTACGGGCCGCCAGCCCTGGCACTACACTGCTCAAACACAAGTCACGATATAAGTCACCTTGAATCTGAACAATTGCAGTCCAGGAAGCAGTTGTTCTGACTCAAGTAATTGAATATTAATTTAGTTTATTTTTATCTTTTTGGATGTATAATATATATATTTTCTATGAAAGTTCCATTGATTTTACATGCATGTAATGTATTTTATGGGGCAAAGGGAGACCAGCTTATTTTATCTATTTATGGAAGAAATTTATTGTTTCCAAGAACACAACCACGACATTAAGTGAGGACTACCTCAATAAATGTCACTTGCCTACCAGTAGGTGTGAAGGTTGCATTGAGAAATGTACATACTCCTATGCAAGGAGGTGGTGTGTGTGTGTGTGAGGTTGACAGTGAGTAGTGGCCTTGTGATATATTAATTATTGTATTTCATACAATGTGTGTATATAGAATATATTTGTAAATCATAAGGTACTGTATATTCAATAAAAAAAAAACACAGTGAGGTAGCGGTGACGTGTGTGTGTTAGAGTATTTGTATACCCATGCATGCTGCATTTCAGTATACAGTTGTGTGGTATAGGAAAAAACACTTGATTAATGACACTGCTATTCTATGTATTTGTTTCAGAAAAAAATATTAGAACTCCTAATACCCTATACACAATGTTCAGTCACACATATTCTGGGATTAATTGGAAAATATTAAGGTTCCATTGAGAAGCTTAAGTGTACAGATGATTGGGAGACACTTTGATCGAAATGTTATATCAGAAATTGAATGAATTTTTTTAAGGTAACTTATGTACTGCAAAGATTCATTAAGGATGTCTAAATAGAAAGTGCAAAATATTTTATCTATGGTTGTAGCACAGTAAAACCTAAAAAATATGGAAAGCAGTTATCTCAGAGGCTTTGAAAACTGGAATTATTGAGAAATGATAATCTAAGTACAGCATATTGAAAAATATCAGTACTGCCAGATCACACAAACAAATGACACAGACAAGGAATAAGATAGAGAGATTAATCGATGAGAAGGATGTTGTTATGGAGGGTTGTGCTACAGTGTGAATAACTGAAGGAGACTACTGGATAGAATATGTAGTGTTGTAAATACAGTATATGCAGATAGAAGCAATGCCTTCACTGCAAGTTTAACAATTTTAAAAACTACAAACTGTATACAATTGTCTGCTGATGGGCAGAACTGCATTTTGCTTAGTGATGACAAATAGTTCATCAAAATATATTAATGTAGAATTAATTTATCTTTTCCACATCATGACATTGACTTTCTCAAGGGGAATCATTTGCCATTCTAATTTTACATAATAATGAAACTTGTGTTAAGTAATATCAATACTCCCATAAGTTGGACTTGGTCTGAATTGCCAGCACATATGCTGAGTTGTAACCGACCGTATAGTGCAACACCAATCTCTCACCAACTGCCGGTTAATGTGATGGCATCCAGCAGTATGGTAATTAAATAGTGACAACTGTACAATACTGTACATAGTTTTAAGTGATTAAATTTAGTTTAGTGTTACAAAGTTTACCCTGCTGTGTAATTAATTTTGGTGGACTACAGTCCTGTACATACAGGTACTCCTTGACTTACGACATACTCGACTTGCGACAACCCGGACATACGACCGCCGTGGTCGTTTAAAATATTTTTCAAATTACGTATTTTCGAGTCCTGATGTTAGTGATCGCACTGTGTACAGGTACTCCCCAACTTACGACAGGGTTAGGGACCGACATCCACGTCGTAAGTCGGAAATGCTTAAATAACACATAGAAAATCGAAAATTTGGGTCTCTTTTTCTTCTCAGCACCACAAAACACTCACTTTTAAGCTTGCCAGCCATTTTAAAGTGAATTACAGATGAAAATTTTGTCTGTGTACTGACTTTGGGACTCAAAAACACTGTACATAATTTGACCACATTTTGGTACTATTGAGGCAGGTTGTAAGTGCGGGTGGACGTAAGTCGGGGAGTACCTGTACTGACAAAATTTTCGTTTGTAATTCCCTTTAAAATGGCTGGCAAGCGTAAAAGTGAGACTTCTCATGGTGCTGAGAAGAAAAAAAGAGACATCCATTTTAGAATTTTTATGTACAGTATAGTCTACATTTACGCGGTCAATTGAATCCGTGGAGGCCCACGTAAAACGAGAAATGCGTAAATGAAATAACAGAACATATGGGATTAATTGAAATAGAGACTGGGCCGACCCCCAAACTCCACTTTTTCCGACACAATATGTACGTTGTAGTAAAAATAACATCTTAATTTTATGATGGTATGCACACACAATTAATAATTAAGAGAAATATCAGTAAAATTAGGTTTTTTAACACTTACATTAGTAGAAAAGCTGGGTCGGCACACGTGGATGGCAGCTTGTTCCGAGGCAGAGGGCAGATTAGTTGCCCTCCGGTGAATCACTTTCACTACTCGCAGAGGTTTGCAGGGCCTCCCAGACAAGCCCCTCAAAGTACATATCCTCACTGTCACTATCACTGACTTGGGCTGGTTGTGGTGGGTTGCGGGCGAAGAAGTCCTTAATACTACGTTGACGACTAGCATTGATGTTGTCGAGATAGATCTGGATATACGGCTCCATAACTTTCGTCAGATGGTTATTAGACACTTCATACTGATGCTTGTCTGGGTCGTTGTCAAGAATGAGCTTAATTTTCTCCCCCAACTCAATGATTTCCTTCACATTATCGTGGCTTGGTCCAGGTAATTCAAGGTTTTCTCAGGTGGTGGGGGTCCCGCGGAGGCCATTGTGAGGGGAATAGCGGGCACAAGAGAGAACTGTATATGCGGACTGAGAACAATGAGACAGGCCCGGCTAGGTCAGCGACTTCTACCCTCTGGTGGCAGGGCACATCATGTTACATTAGACCAATCACAGCTAGCGGCGGAGGGAGGTAAGGATGCGTGGGTAAAAAATGGCGTGGCGGTCAGGACCTCTCCAGCCGCTCGCCACATAAATGACCAAATTTACCGAGTAATTAAAGCATTTTCATTCTGGCAAGGCACCGCGTAAATGACCAAACGCGACTACAAAAACCGCGTAAATCCAGACTATACTGTATTATTTTTGCCTTTTCGACTTATGACCTGGTCGTCGGGACGGAACCCGATCGTTAGTCGGGGAGAGATTGTATTTCTACTTTGAAGTTCTGTCAGACTGACCAAAGTGCAGTGCCTCTCTCCACCCACCCAGGCTCCAGTAATCAAAAGTGTAAGTGCCCTGGAGTGTTCAGTTACTGTTTCTTTTAACTGTTGTTATTATTTAATCTACAGTAAGATCTCATATTTCGAGTGATTACATTTCGCGTGTTTGAATTTCGCGAGCACTAACTAATGTAACCAAGTCTTATACTTGGCATAAAATATAGTGAGTTTTGCGAGATACAGCCAGCTGAATGCTAGCCACTGTCTTAGAATGACATCACAGTCCTCATACCAGTTACAGTCATTTCTGCTACAACACGTGTTTTGTCAACTCGAATTGGTTGTAATGCGATTGATAAATAAGGGAACGCTGTTTGTAAAACACGATCTTTTGCACACGAATGTTGGCTATAGCGCGATTCCATCCTCAATGTTTTAAGCGGGGCGCAGGTTTATGCCATGTTTACAGTTCACGTTCGACATCACATGTTCAATTGATTCGTGTCTTGTGTTTGTGAAGTGTTTTTTGAGAGATACTCTGTAAATTTTGTTCTCTTTTTTTTTTGCAAATTTAGCTGTTACCCATAAATATTGTACGAAAAGATTAAGTAAAAAGAATGTTTCGCAGTGCGGACTAATAACGGTTTACACCAGCGCCCTCTGTTTACATCATGTGATCAGTGGAATCACGAGGTTTATGGTGATCAAATTGCCGGTGGTGAACGTAAAAGAGGTTTACACTGCACCTATCGCATTGTAGCACGCGCCATCCTAGCAACCGCCCAGGCTGCTATTGAGAGTATTTTGGGTGGTGCTACCACCTGTCGAGTCAAGATAATGACCTCTACTGGGGGTGGTGCTGGTGGAGGTGGGACAGACCCACCTAAGCGACCAAATAAGGAAAAGGAGAAGCGAGACTATCATAAAGGAGTTAAGTTTGCCAAGTACTCGGTGCAGGATAAGCATTGTGTGATTAAGTTACTTGAGGAAGGCCTAAAAACTAGTTTCCAGAAAGCACAATCAGGTCAATAAAGGCAGAATTTGTATCATTTGGAGGTTATAAATGGGAAAATCAGAGGTTGATGTGGAGTGGCTAGTCTATATTGTTATTTTTTTCATTAGTTTATGTATTTGCATTTGGCAAATTTGAATTTGGTGCAATTTTTCCCATCTATATTACTCATGAAATACAAGATCTTACTGTAATATAGCCTATACATTTTATTCTTTAGGGTTTTAGTAAGTTTTTAGATAAAATTTTTGACAGGGGGCACCAACAGAGTATTACTGCTACTGTAAGTCAGACTTTTGGTTCAACTTAGGGAGGTTTTACTGTATATATGTATTCATATGAGAGTTATTACCTGGACCTTTTGACCCTTGACATTCAGCAGTGACTCTTTGCTTAATCATATAGTGTACATTGATACAAGCCCCATAACTCCAAACAAATTTTTAATCTCTGAGGTCATGTGATCTTGACTTTAATATGAACTTAGAGTTTGGTAATGAGCACTTCGTGTAGCAATGAAATTCTTGTGATGCCAGAATTAATACAGTGCAAAAGTTGTGCTTCTGGCAAAAGTTTTGAACTTTGACCTTCTACTGTGATTTTTATCAAGGTACGTATATCATCTAAATTTGCATGTCTGTATGTATATGATGGTCACTATGTCTTCCAAGTTTAGTTCAATTTGAGATGTACATATGGACGGACGGACGGACGTGGTTAACATAAATTTCTCCCTCTAACAAGGGCATAAAAATTATTTAAAATTACTTGAGATAATTTTTAACACAGTTAATGAATAGTCTTTTAGTTATATGTGTTTATCAGATGACAAAAATTTCTTTAGTTTTCTTGATTGCTAATATTATTATTATTAGTTTCCAATGTTAACCCTAATTCACTTTCTGAGACAATTATATTTCTACCTTCGTTCACATGGTCTAAATTATCTTCAGATATAGTTTCCAGAGGACCTTCAATTATAGTTTCTAGTACAGGTATGTCCTTTGCTCCTGAGAGCTCTACATTATCAATATTTACAGCAATTTGCTCCACCTTTTGACAACCAAACATTTCTTCAGGACTGTAGACCTCTGGACTAGTTCCTACGGCAAATACATTCAGATCTCCACTGAAAGGTTTATATAGAGAGGACTCCTCTAAGTTAGCTGATGTAAGAGGAGCCACAGCATTGATCTTCCCACTATTAGTATTTGATGCATCAAGTGTGGCAAGACTCTGGGTTGTTTGCCAGTGTTTTTCTAGAGACCTGGGAGAAGGAGATGCTGGTTCACTAGTACAGGCCCCATCCTGTTTATATGACCTACTGGCTTTGCTGTCATATCCTGCATGTGAAATCTGCTCTGGATTTGATGTCCCGGAAGCTAAGAATCCACTACTGCAAAAGATTAACTAATTAGTATTATTGGAATTGTTAGATTTAAGTACCTATATGAAATACATGTTGATAAAGGATTAAAAAAAAAGAAAAACATAAAAAAGTCAGTAGAGCAATTAATAAAAATCATTTTCCATATAAGTTATTTGAAAATAACAGAAGTCAGGCCGAAAACTATGGATAATAGTAACAAAGAAGACTAAATAATAAATATCAAACTCCCCTAAGATCTTGTTGAAGTATCTCTATGCAATTTATAATCAATTTAACCAAATCTATTTTTTATCTGTATAACCATAGGAAAAGCATAAATTATAGGGGACTCGCAACTACAAATGTCCAGAATATCTGAGCCATGCTGGAGGCTTGCTGTTTACAGACAAAACTCAGGAAAATAGAGAGAGAAGAGGGAAAAGAATGCTGCCTTCATTAATGCTTTAATGAATACAAAGTACAGGTTGTACCTCAGGTTGTACCTCTCTAGTCCGGCATTCTGTGGTCCGGAACGATTTTAGTTTGTCCAATAGGTAGATAGGCAGCTTTTTTTTCTTTTTTTTTTTACTTATCTGAATTATTATTATTATTACAGGAGTATTAAATTTTTGCCCCTCAGGCCCCAATGTGGGTCAGTGACCTATGCCCGGGTGGGCTAATCCCCTAAAAAAAAAAACAACAACAAAGCCGCGGGAAATTAAGGTTTGTTTACATCCGGCAGTTCGGCTGCTCTCTCTCTCTCTCTCTGCTTGTCTATACAGAGTACAACATTTAACCCTTCAATATATATGAGCAGTAAATAAGTGTTGCTTTCATATTCTTATGTAGAGTAATGACGATATGTTTTCACATGTGCACACTTACATACGCGCAGTCTCACTTTTTTTTACCATTAATGGTTAGCTACTTATATTGTTCCATTTATTAACATTAAATAACATTACAGGTACTTCAAACAACCATATTAATTTTTTTACATTAATTTTACTACAGCTACAATCAGGGTCTTATTTTCTTCAGTTTTATATGTAGAACCAATCAGTCACTGGTTTTGTAAACTTTAACATAAACAATGCCGACAGCAGTCATGCCTTCTCGTGTGTTTTAATATTCCACGTATTATTAATAAATTGTATTGTTAATTTTGCACACACAAACATTAATTCAATAAAAACAAATTCAGAAACATTAATTAAAATATATATGAGCAGTGTTGCTTTCATATTCTTATGTAAAGTAATGTCGATATGTTTTCACATGTGCGCACTTACATACGCGATCTCTCTTTTTTCTTTACCATTATCGTTAGCTACTTCTATTGTTCCATTTATTAACATTAAATAACATTACTTAAAACAACCATATTAATTTTACAACAGCTACAACCAAAGTCTTATTTTCTTCAGTTTTATATGTAGAACCAGTCAGTCACTGGTTTTGTAATCAACGAAAACAATGCTGTGTCATTTCCTCGTGTGTTTTAATATTCTATGTATTATTGTATTGTATTGTATTGTATTACTTGTATTGCTCATTTTGCACACATAAACATTAATTCAATAAAAAAGACATTCAGTAATAAACAATAATGAATCTTTTGTACATAAGAGAAATGACGCTGTTTACACGATTATGCACGTCGTCTGCACGTTGGCGGGCCGTTCAAACCCGTCGAAATTCAAGTTTCCGCCGTCAAAATTTTTATTTATTTTTTTTTGAGTTCCAATAAAATACATTGAATTAAAAACTCGAGAAATTTGAGAAGCTACTATACGACATTTAACCCTTCAATATGTCTTCAAAGAGACCATGATGCAGAGAAAGTGGTGCTAGTGCTTCCAAGCATAAGCACAAGTCACTATCTATTCAGGAAAAGGGTGAATTTCCATGGTCCGGCACAGGTCAGGTCCCGAGGTTGCCGGACTAGAGAGGTACAACCTGTACCTCTTTCCCCATAATGCAACTGCAGTCAGGTACTCATGTGAGAAAAAGAGGAAAGGGTGGAAATGTGTGATGCTGCAGGCCTCTGTCAGTGATGCCCTGATGTAAACAGCTCTGCTAACCTACAGCCAGTGATGTACTAATGCAGGTTGAAGAGCCAGTTTACAGTAGTGGTACCAGGACTCATTTAATGCCAAAATATTAATAATGAATATTAACTAATGCACTATGATGATAATATTCATAAAAGTGACTGGCAATGAATGTGACTACTCTACTCTTCACTCATGGACATATTTGTTTTGTTGATTGTTTTATTTGGATAGTATAACTTCAGCTTACCAAATATTTAGAATAGCACAGTATGGAAATATTGGTGTAATTCACATTTCTTCATTTCTTGTCACACAAGCAAAGCAACAAGGCAAATGTTGAGACTTTTCCAAATCACGTTATTTTAAGATTTGGGGACATTCCGTGGCCACTCCGATCACCTGAACTTACGTCTCCAAATTATTTTTGATGGGGCTACTTACAGTGCACAATTGGTGCATTTACATGGGCTAGTCAGGTTTTGTGCAGTGCAGCAGCCCTGTGCTTGTTTACATTTGACAGAAGAAAACCCACAATAGTAAACATCCTATGGAATCAAAGTAAACAATATTAAAACAAATATCTCAATGTAATAAGTTGTGGAATGTTTATATGATGAGCCTTTGTAAATGCACTAGTGAAGGGGACTGTACATTGTCTATGCAAATGGAGTTGACCAAAAACACTCCCTGAACTGAGAGACAACAAACAGAAACAAAGTAAGTCAGATTTTGTGTGAAACACTTCAGCAAGTTATGGATTTCTTCTTCTGCTTCCGTGAATACCTGTACATAAATTATAAGGGAAGTTACATGATGCCAATCATTTTCAAGAAATTAAGAAGTGTAAATTTCACCAATATTTCCACACTGTGTTCTTCTAAATATATGGTATCCCAAAGTTATATTATCCAAATAAAACAATTAATCCATGAATTTATTGTCACCCTGTACAGCATATAAAACTAATTTTATTGTTTCTGCTCTATATCCCTGGTTTTGTGCTCTTCCTTGGTTGATTTTCATATGGTCAAGATAAAAAAAATATAGATATGTTCACCCCATGCACAATGCTGCCTCTACTAAATGAATTTTTAAAAGATATTATGGTGACAGATTCACATGCAATATTGCTGAATTATAACCTTGTTACCTAATTTAGCTACCTAATGAATACTCATTGTTCATGTGTAGAGCTAAATACCATATTCCTGACTATGGATAAAAACCTAACCAAAACCCTCTGCTATTACAATGTAGTGTCAAATTTCCTGTGGAAATGGAACCACAGATTACCATATGAAGGACTGTATTTTTCAACTTATTACAAGAATCATGAGAGGGTTCCATTATAAAGAAGGGAACCAAGTCCAATACCGTAGTTAACAAAGTGTTTCATGAGAGTTTGAATCTACAAGTAACTTGAAAAGCTCAATGATTGAAGAAAACAGAGTTACTTTGAATGAACATAGTCATGAAAAAAGAATATGTGTTTGCTCTTGCCTTTGGTTTCCAGCAACTTTGTGGGAAAGTTAAATTTTACTTCAGTACCAAATTTTTTAATAACCCTAAATTTCAAGACTGAAAAATCCTTTAACAATTTGCACACCTGGATTTTATAGGAGACGATGAAGCACTGGGCTCCCCATGAAATGATTTTGTTTGACTTATCATCTTGGTAAATCCTTTGAGGTTTATGGTGCTTTGGCCTCTTCTATCTTCCTGCAACAATTCTTGTAATGGGAACAGATAAGTATGACATTAATAAATCTAGCTTGTAATGGTAGCTCTGTTAAATCTAATTACATTTTCACAAAGGAAAAAATAAATAATAATATATATATATATATATATATATATATATATATATATATATATATATATATATATATATATATATATATATATATATATATATATATATATATATATATATATATATATATATAACTAAAGAAAACACGAGAACCGTAGTTATCAGCATATACCTGGATCACACGCACCTACAGTGATTTATTTGCATATGTATATATATATATATATATATATATATATATATATATATATATATATATATATATATATATATATATATATATATATATATATATATATATGTATATATATATATATATATATATATATATATATATATATATATATATATATATATATATATATATATATATATATATATATATATATATATATATATATATATACACACACACACCTGCATTGGGGCAGAAGGGGGCAACTTTGAACATTTCCTTTAGGTTGTATCAAAGAGGGGTCACACTGTAGAGATCTGTGAATAAATGATTACAAAAACCTATGGGGGTTTCACTTCAAATTCACTCTCATTAATACAACATCTTAAATGTATTGAATAATGGAAACTATGCAGAATCTGATATTTTACCATGGAGACATTGTGGTTTAGAATTATCCAAGGATTTCATCCTCCAATTTAATGTACTCTTTGCTGAATCACCATATATATATATATATATATATATATATATATATATATATATATATATCTATATATATATATATATATATATATATATATATATATATATATATATATATATATATATATATATATATGTGGCATTTTCGTGACCAGTGAAAGTTTGAACGCTCGTGCTTGGCTAGTGTACAGCGAATGAGAGTGCACCAAGTCCGTAGACTTGCATGGTTAATTAGGGTGCGCCAAGTCCGTAGACTTGCATCGTTTTCCATCGTAAATAAAATGGTTAATTAATGCCTTCCTAAAGAAACCATCGACCAGGTTTGTTCCACTCTATGAATTTTTTGCGATTTTTCCACCAAGTTTGATGAAAAACGATTGTGCCGTTTCAGCTGCCCAGAACAGACAGACAGACAGACATGTGCCTAGTCCTATAGTATATTAGATATAATAAATACCTGTTTTATCCTCATCGCTTGATAGAAAGTCATCTCCATCTCCCTGGAAAATTGAAGTGCGGATGGAAGCATTGCTGCCTAGACCTTTGTCTGTATGTCCATACTCTCTGTCTACTGGAGATATCGTTTCACTATTCATAGTGTGCTGAAAACATAAAGTAGAAATAATGACAAATAAACTTTAAGGAATTATCTTGAAATCCCATACTATACAGTAGCTGCACCTAAATTTAGTTTACAACTAAGCAAATCATCAATTACAGCCACAAGTCCTGTTTTAACCCTTGATTAAAGCTGTCTGTCACAAGTTCCAAGAGACCTTTAGATGCAACAATTCACTATATAAAGTATGAAGCCTCATTAGCAGACATGCAATATTACCTTCATTTGGTCAATTTTCACAATACCTAACAGGAAAAGGAATGTATGTGAGGTCTCAAGCTCTGGGCTCAAGACAGAAAATGGGATTTCAGGATCAATCCTTCTGCTCTGGCCAACACCCTTCACTTGACAACTTGTGAATTTTGAAGTTAGTCATAAAATGGGAAATGGCAATTATAGGTGCTCATATGGCATGCACTCCATTAGAAGAGTTAATCTGCATATACCTGTATCTTACTTATTAAAATACTTTATGAGGAAGTTAACCTCATTAATCCCTGCATTATGATTCATGTAACTCTTCATTCAGTGATGAGTTTCATAAACTTGACAATCCAGTGCCTCTATAGTCACATGAACTTCCAGTTTACTAATCATGAATCCAAGAGAAGAAAGAAGGTATCCATGCTAACGGGTACAACTGGCAGCTCTTTGGAAGAAATAAATTCAGACCCAAATGGACCAACATTTTGTCATGTTATCTATAATTTCAGCTCTGATCATCTCATTATTTAAATTCTTTTATTAAATTGCTTATCAAGAGTAATTTGAATTCACAGTCATGAATTGTTAAGACCCAGACTGATTTGTCATGATCAAATGTGAATCCTGTAATATAATTTTCCAAAACATTTGAAACCGTAAGCATTGTATATTATTCTCATGCATTAGCTATGAAAAGTATTATCACCACTAAATAAATGAAACCTAAGTGGTACAGACAAGTGAACAGAGAACATTTTTAAAGGAATTAATTCATGAACATAACTCTTGTGAAAGGGGAAGGGAGTAAACCATGATCGGTGGTATACTACAAAGAAATTACAATCAGTACTATACTATTTGAAGTGCATGTGGATCAAAAAATATTATCAGGTAAGGTACATTGAACACTGTTGTATGTTGGTACATTACATAAATCTCTTTTTACAGAAAGCAAGGAGATAATTTTGTTTAATTAAATCAGGAATTAGGGAGAATAGGTGGGGTGAAAATGAGAAGATGTAACATTACATAGGATGTGGCTGATCGTGTGAAAAGGGGAATGTAGTTGTATGAGCTAAACAATTACATTATGTGAGTATTGTGTATCTGAAGAAACCAAAAGGATACACTGTATAGAAAAATTTATCTTATACAAAGTATGTGGTATAGCTGCATCAGTGATAATTTGTTCTCTGCTGCCCTACAGTAAAATGGACATGTACAAGTTATATACAGGTAGAGGAAGATGGATGCACACGCAAAGAAGTTTAAAAATACCCTCGTCATGCCAAGTGCTTACCAGAATAAAACTACTTACCTCACTGTATATTTTATTTAATCTTGGCTTCTTATGTTTGGGTAAAATATGCCCTCTACTTGATTCATTTGTACTTTCGAAGTCATCAGAAGATTGTGACAGAATGACATGACCTGTAAAAAATAAATGATAATCAATTATTAACATAATGTAGGGATTGAATACCGGTACACAGTAAGATCTTGTATTTCGCGAGTAATATAGACTGGAAAAATTGCGCCAAATTTAAATTCGCCAAATGCAAATACATAAACTAATGGGAAAAATAACAAAATAGACTAGCCACTCTACATCAACCTCTGATTTTTTTTTCATTTATAACCTCCAATTGATACAAATTCTGCCTTTATTGACCTGATTGTGCTTTCCGGAAACTAGTTTTTACGCCTTCCTCAAATAATTTAATCACACGCTGCTTATCCTGCACCGAGTACTTGGCAAACTTAACTACCATATGATAGTCCCGCTTCTCCTTTTCCTTATTTGGCTGCTTAGGTGAGTCTGTCCCACCAGCACCAGTAGGACCACCAGTAGAGGTAGAGGCCATTATCTTAACTTGACAGGTGGAGCACCACCCAAAAAAGCACACAATAACAGCCCGGGCGGTCGCTAGGATGGCGCGGGCTACAACGCGATAGTTGAGTTCTTGTAAACCTCTTTTGCGTTCACCACCAGCAATTCGATCACCACCAGAATGCTTCTTGGAAACTTTCCTCTTACCTTGTCTTTCCGTATTCATCGCTAACACAACAAAATTGGAGAAAAAAGCAAAAATCATAGAGTAATTGACAGAAACCGCGCGATTAAGCTGATCACGTGATGTAAAGAGAGAGCACTGGTGTAAACCGTTATTAGTCCTCACTGCGAAGCATTCCTTTCACTTATTCTTTTCATACAGTATTTATGGGTAACATAAATTTGCAAAAAAAAAAAAAAAATAAATAAATAAATAAATAAATAATAAAAAACTAAAAAAATATTATAGAGTACCTCTCAAAAAACACTTCACAAACAAAAGACACGAATCAATTGAACATGTGATGTCGAACATGAACTGTTAACATTGCATAACCCCGCGCCACGCTTAAAACGTTGAGGATGGAATCGCGCTATAGCCAACATTCGTATGCAAAAGTTCGCGTTTTACAAACAGCGTTCCCCTCTTCATCAATCTTGTTACAACCAATTCGCATTGACAATACACGTGTTGTAGCAGAAATGGCTGTAACTGGTTTGAGGGCTGTGACGTCATTCAAGACGGTGGCCAGCATTCAGCTGGCTGGATCTCGCGAAATTCACGATATTTTATGCCAAATATAAGACTTGGTTACATTAGGTAGTGCTCGCGAAATTAAAAAATGCGAAATGAAATCGCGCAAAATATGAGAACTTACTGTAGTTGTAAATGATAATGAATTATTAACATAATGTAAAAATTGAATATAGTTGTTATTATAGATATTCATGTAAAAAATACTATACTTGTATTTCTGACCATTATCTATATTTGTTTGTTTTTAGTTGTTTACTTACTTTTTTAAGTTGTCCACTAACCCTTATGCCCTGGGCAATGTAAAACCTGCCAGACCCCCCAAGCGGGCATATTTCAGGGGGAAAAAATCAAAGGAAAAAAAAACACTGGTATTTCAGGCGCAAATTTAGTGGTTACTCTAAGCATACTGTTATGGCTGGCATGCACATGGTCCCCTACATCCACAGCGACCATAACTTCGCTGAGGGGGTGGCTGGTAGGGAGGTGAGTGAGCACCATTGTCTGCCTCAACATCATCTGGGTCTGTTTCCTCCCCATCACTATCTTCGTCACCCGATACTATATCAATGCCACTCAAATCAAGCAACTTTTTTTGATGAATAATACTGCTGTCGAGGGTATGGAAGAGTGAGGTGGGTCACAAGACATCGAAGGACATGCATCCATCATGATAGCTGCTGGATAACTGGACCACCAGACTTGAAACAAAGATTATGTGCAAGCTGAGCTGCCTGGACATTCATACTATGCCGCAAAAATTATGAATGTAGAGGAACATCACCCGGGGTTGCTGTGGTGGACGTAGAGGAACGTCACCCAGGCTTTAAAGGTTAACATATGGTCACAAGTTCTAGAATGAGGTAAAGGTAGTATTACCAACAACAAATACTGTACAATGATTTTGTAATGGCACTACTGTACATACCTGTTACAAGTGGTTTAGATTATGATTTCTTAAAAATTAATTACTGGTGGTTTTTGAGGGTCCTAGAAAATTCTGGTTTGTTAACTGCTGGATATTATATCATTATGCTAAGAAAATTTACCATAACAATGCACATATCATAACCAGAACATCTTACCATCTTTATCTCTGCGTTTTATCTTGATCAGTATTGGCTCATCATAATCATAGGAATTTCTGCCTTTATGTCTTGGGCTCGAAACATCAGGGGTTTGACCATCAAGAGACAGGTCTGACATGCGGAAGATGGCACTATCCTGGAAACATTAAAGAAATATCAAGAAGGTAATGACAACACAGGTATTCAATAAGCTTTTATATTCAGTACAGTGGGAACTGACTGATCAAAAGGTTCTGGCAATCTATTTCCCCAATTTTTATTGTCACGTTTTTCGAAATATCTGTGGTTCAGGATGTAATGTAGGTACTGTAATCAAACTACTGTACTGTACAGAATTCTTATTTATCAAAAAAGCATTGGGGACTTGGATGCTGTTATCAAGCATGGTGGTCTTGCAACAGTACAATAAACAAATATTTAAGACTGCCATTTTAAAAAACTTTAAACTTACCATTTCTTATTGCTTATCACAAATATAAGCTTATAAGGTGTGAGAAACTACAATTTCTTTGCTATGCTTACAGGAGAATTTAGTTAAATACAGTATCAGCAATAATAGGAAATGATATTTAAGGACAAAATTTTATGGCTTTCAGGAAAGCTTATTTCAATACTAATATCCTACAGGGGTTATCTTGAGATAAACTCAAGGTAAAATTTAACTTTACAATACTGTAAAAGTAATGTAGTGCCTGGGTTATCAAGGGGTTTTGATTTCACTAATATTCTCAGACTTCACATAAGACCAATACTTAACCCTAAGTTTTAAAGACAATCTTTATTGAAACACTTGGTATTAATGATTTCCTAGTGTAACTCTTACAAAGATTCTAAGGGAACAGGAGGTGCCACCATACAGTAATCTTATGACTAGGTGAAAGTTGCTTTGTTCTCTAAAACAATTTAAGAGTTCTGACTTCCTATGTTTGCTGGTGTATAAGGTGTACTTACCCCTAAAATCACCCTACACATTATACACTGGAGGTATAAGATTACGAACTGTGATGGCTGATGCTGAAACTATAATGAATTGCTGCACTTCAACAACTAAGGTGAAAAGTGCTTAAGTACAGTATGTTAGTAATTTCATTAGTCATGAACAATAAACAATTCATAAAGATTCATAACTGTGTGATGGTTAGTAGGTTGTGTGAGTCCATATACTGAGGTTATTCTGCCAGGAACAAGCCATCCTTATAAAAATTAGTACTGTACCAGTACACTAAATAGTACCTGTCTCAAGCCATATTTATATATAAGATTGCAAGAAAATTCTCCTCATAGAAATGTAATTCAAACTGGATATCCACAAACACCAAATTGTAATATGTTATGGATGTGCAGTTGTCCAGTAATGCAGTGAACTACTGTATTATATTTGTAAAATCCCCACATATGGTATTATTTCATTCAAGAAACATAAACTAAGGACAAATTGGAAATCAGTAAAATCTGGACACTCCTAATTAGTCTGATGTAGCGAGCATTGACTGTTTGAGATGATTGCAAAGTAGAGGTTATAAGTGTAAATCACACTTACTAATAATAATTTTGAAGTAAACAATCCCATATAATACCTGTGTTGCGATAGTTGGATTTCTTGCAAATGTTTCGGGGCTCCTGGAAGTAACTTGTGATGATGTTGACATTCTTGAGGATGATCTCCTCAAGTCACGTTGACGTCTCTGACGAAATGATGTGGTGCTCGCTAAAACAAAAATAGATAAAAATTTAGCAATGCTTAATGATGAACTTAACAGTTCAATACCAATCCAGTAAAATTATGGTAATTCTGAACTTAATACAGTACAGTACTTCAGTAATTTGGAAATTCTGATCTCATCTGAGCTGCTTCGACAATTTTGGTCTAAATCATGCAGTTTCTTGTGACTTTCATCCGTGTGGTGTGTGGGTGGTATTTGTATCAGGCTTTTATTTACTCATTGATTGATTTTTCATGTTTGATAACATGAAAACCAGGTACTGGCATGCTTTTGATCCTGATGCTGTAGAAACAGCAGTCCAGGGCACCTCAGGGTGACCCACCATGACCAGTTTCAGAGACACCCATTCATGCACCAACGTGGCACTAAAGCTCGCTGCTGTATTATGCACTTGATGATGGAGTAGCCTCTACAGGGCACTACCCCTAAGCTCAGGCTCCTGTACTATCAAACAGAAGCATCAGCCTGTGAAACACACCCAGTACCTTCTGTGCAGTCTATAAATGCAACAGAGACCATGGGATGAGCACAGCTCAGGTGGTAATTTTTTTTTTTTTTTACATCCAAATGCCCTTCATATTGCCAACCCATGGGGAGAGTTCAGATGGCAAGGCAGGGTTGCAACTTCATAAGGTAATCAAAAGCTACCCACAAGTGAAATAAATTATTCATATTAGTCAGACTAAATGATATGATTACTCAAATATTTAGTCTGAGAGGTTTACAAGGCCTGTAAATACTATTGACTAGAGGCATTCATTGAAAAATATTGTGTGCACCCCCTTGCTCTAGGAAACAAAACTCAAGGACTATATTACTGATGTTGATATATTTATCAAACGAGGCTAACAAGCAGTTCAATTCTGTGTAGTAATTGTCAAATTATCCCCACTAAATATTGTGTTGCATCACCAAGGAGTGTTATAATTCCTTAGCCTGCAAGGTTCTGAAAGGAACTGCACAAAATCCCCAAAATCTGTTACTTTATGTGAGTAACTTTTGCCCTTTTCATAGTTTGCTTAATGAAATGCTTCCTTTAATAAATAATAAAATGGACAATAAAACTGGGATATGACTTGTAAGCCATGCAATACAAAATTAAAAAAGTCACACTTTGAAGAAAAATTCATAGCTCATGACGATAGATAGCTAATATCCAGGGGGAGGGAGGGATCGTCCTGGGGGGTCCGGATCCCCCCCTTTCACCAGAAAAGTCTAGTACTTTTTCTTTAATGCAGTATTGTACTCAGGCATTTTTGTATAGTAAAAAGTATTTACTACTGACTTCAGAATATCCCCTAATATCAAGTGCGCACACAGCGCATGGCTTCAAAATTGCCTCAAAATGCCCGTGGGTGGGCTTGCTACGCTCGCCATGTTCCCCGATCTACAACTTCTTGGACCCCCCCCCCTTTTGATAATCCTGGATCCACCCCTGATATCTGTATAGTTGTATATTTCATAAAACCAGGTCATTTTAGTTTCTGTACTATCAAACTTCTATGACATAAACCAAAATATAAAACTCAGAAAACAGCCCCATCAACTGAAAGATTATACACAGGGTACAGTATTAGTATTTATAGTACATGTATATTACACATGGGGACCATGATTAAGTTTTAAATTACTTGCAGTCTGAAAACATATGGAAACTTTTTTTTTTATACCTCTGATAATTTAAGGAATCTTTTCAAATAAAATTGTCCTAAAACATTCTAACTACTACAGTACTTTCAAAAGTAAAAAACTTTCAGGAAAACTTTAAAATTCCATATACTGTACAGTACTGGTATATATACTGTTACTACTGTATATCAAGAACAAAGGAGGGATCCTACACAGGCCACTGGCCTACTTCCCTTGACATGGCCACCTCTAGTGGGTGGCCATTAGGTAAATAAGGTATTGTTCATATAAAAATAGTAACAAGCTGACTGAGTCTAGAAAGATCATGGTGTATAATTCAATAGCCAGATAAGTGGAAGAACAGACAAAAAGCATATAGATAACTGACAAGACACAAAAAGAAGAGATATGATAGAAATGGAAACTTTAAACTACAATATTACTGTATCTGAATATTCTAAATATTTCAACAGTATTAGCTACTATCAATCATTTCTTACCATTGGGTCTCACAGTTAGATGTCTGACATTATCATGACTCTCTGATTTCATCCGGTGCCACAGCATTGATAACATAGAAGGTTTCCGAGATGGTATGGGCTGGGAAGATGCTATTCCATATGTGGAGTTTGAAATTCCTTTTTTCTTTAGTATATCAATAGCTTTTGATTCTCCATTTTCCATATCAACCTGCAAAGAAACACTATGATATTATACGGTACTGATAAGGTTATGCAAAAATTATTGAAATCCCTTTAAAATGTGAACTATCTTTGTGTTAGTGTGTAAGTTGAGCAGCATTTCCTGTACACCATCATTGACTTATTACATTTTATTTACTCAAATTATCCTCACAGGCCTGACAGGTAACAGGCCAAGAATTACATGGCGAGAAGCTGTAAGAAATGACATTACTGTACTGTTGAGTGAAGAACCTAACAATAGAGGCTGCAAGAGACCGTGCAGCATAGAGATCTACCATCAGGTTATCAAAGCTAACCCACACAAGCGTGGAAAACAGCCATAAAACATTGTTGATGATCATCTTGATAAAATTGTCCTCACAACCATAGCCTTTTACTCAGGGCCAGTTCTAGTTACAAGAAAACTGTGCAGTTGCCTGGGATTCCACATGCTGGTGGCACTAAATTGTGGATGATAAAAAAATTATTTATTCAAATTAAAAAACAAAATTATAAAATGTGGAAATTGTCTGACATGAAGACAAATGGGCATCTGCAGATAAATACAGAAAAATTATGAACTCAGAAGTTTAGGTGCTTCTGCTACCATGGTGACTCCCTGGATATTGGGTATGTTCACAACACTTGTCAACTCGGGTCTTCATCAAAGAAAGCTATGCAGTCTTGCCGACATCCCCTGTGTGCCTGACACAGTTTGGTCAGGATCAACCTGTTTCTAGTCACAAGCACTGACACAATAAGGTTGTGTCATCAGTCACCATATCAGGTCACATATAATAGGCCTGTACCAGTGAGTTATTTCAGTTTTGGGAGAGACACTATACCTTGAACAGTGTTACGACCATGTCGTATTTTTCTATTACTTTTTTTATAACATGCTTCCATGTTGTTCCATATTATTCCTGTAATGATGTGTTATATTTACTATTATATAATCTAGTCACCTTACCCTGTGCTGTTAAGGTTTTAACTGTTATTATTTGTTCAAGCCCATCTTATTTCTTCATTTAGTATTGTAACAAGCATTCTTTGTTTCTCTAACGACCATCTGCATCGTTAAACGACCCATGTTTCACCGACGGGTCGCATTGGCGGGAGCCGACCCTATATATAGCACTCCACCAGCAGACGGAGTTCAGTCCAGTCCTCTTGTCATTCAGTTCACGTTCTTTTGAGTGACTCCCGTCACCTGTTACTTATACTTTATTTTATTTTCTGTGTTGTTCCTGTCGCCACCAATGTGGTATATCTATGTGAGTACCTATTCATGTCTCTTATGTGTCCATCAGTGTTTGCTTAGTTACATTTAAGTAATTCAGTGTTGTTTCACGATAGTTGATTTCAGTGTTAGTTATTTTATATGTTTATGTAGTGTTAACGTAATCCAGTGCTTTATTTTTATATGTTTAAGCAGTTCTTTTGATGTTCCAATGTTTTAGTATCATTTGTGTCTTAAAAGTTTCGATAGTGAATCAATTTGTTGTGACAGCCTATGAGACTCTTTATTGTGTTAATATTTAATTTAATTAAATTCTTAAAGGTTTACTTTATTTATTTTTATTCCCTTTTGATTTACTTCACTTTTCTTTTTGTTTGGTTATGCCTAGAACCTGGATATTAAAGTAAATTAAGAAACGGCGTAACAACAGTGAATTTACCGTATTTTCTGGCATATAAGATGCACTCCTCATTTCAACAGGGAATATTTGGTAAAATAACTTGTGTGTATGTTTCCTCCTGTAGCCAATTTTTTCATAAAAAAATATATATGCAGAATAAATAGAAATCATGTCAATAAATAAGTTAAAAACAAAAAATACTGTACGTACTGTATTCCCATTTGACTGCTGGACAACAAAATTGGTTATTCGCTTCAGTACACACAAGAGACAGCTCAAAACATCCCAGATCCCTCAACCCCCCCCCCATCCTCTTCACAGACAAAGAAAGTTTATTCCCTTTTATGTTTTTGACCTTATGATAATTATTTCTCTTATTTTTTTGTACATTCTGTATGTAACAAAAAATCATTAACAAACAAATAAGAAAACTACTTTATCTAACAAAAATTACGAGTTGAAAAATAACCATAACATAGCTCACAGCTTGGCCTGGGGTGATAGAGGAAGGGCTAGAAGGATATACAGTTGCTATACAGTACCCTGTATAAGTATATAATATACTTATAACAGGTAATGTAAGAATGTAAGAAATATAATGCATCTGAGGTTACAGAAGTACTGGAATTGTAGCAAAGGAATAATGTAAAGTATTGAATGGAATGGTGAATAAAGGTTTGCCAAGATGGTATGCATATATGAAAAGATGCAAGTGGAGAGGATAGAAAGAGGATGTACAGGGACAATGTACAGGAATGGTGTAACAGAACATTAAATGTAAAATATAGGAGGGGATAAGGGGACAATGGAGATATGTTCTGCAGTGACAAAGTGGTCTGAAGTCTCATTAGTCATGGCCATCCCCTTTGAGGGGAGCTCCTTACTGGAGTTAGGAATCATAAGGAAGTTAAGAGGAAAATTATGGCAATTCAACACAAGACTCAGGCAAATTGACATTCTATCTACCTAACAACTTGCCAAAGAGTTATGACTCAAATATACTGTGACCTAAAGAATGAGGTAACCATATTACTACTGACCTTTAAACATGACATGGATGCATCTATTCCCTCATCCACTTCCTCCTCCATCATTGGTAAGAATTCCTGTTCTGTCTCCGGCACCTCAATGTTTGCAGTAGAACCTTGAGGAGGTTCCCGTCTATATGCTTCTGAAGCAATGGTATAAGGAAGCTCCTGGGGAAATACTTCATCCCAGTACATGTCTTGGATAAGTTCTGGATGTTCACAATGCATCTCATCAACAATAAGGTATGATACCTGTGAATGAGATTTGAATTAAAAGAAAATAAAAAATCAAGACAATATAACAAGAAAAATCTGTCAAGTTCACAGATGGGCAAACTCACAAGGCATGGGTCTTAATAATACCCATCCAGTTCTAACAATTAAAGTGTACAAAAAAATTAAAAAAATTTCATTAACAAACCTGCAAATTGCGATCCACCAGCCAATTGACTTCAAAATCATCATCATCTTCACCAAAAGGATTAACCAAAGATTCAGCAACTTTCAGCCAACCCATGTAAAAAAAAAACTGCAGAAATGTGAAGACTGGCACATAGAAGTCAACATTGTATTTGTCAAGATTTTGTTTGGGGTCAAGAAACTGACGACCCATGATGGTTGCCAGGAAAAATGAGTAAACAGCCAGAGTCACAACCTGCAGAAGGAAGATTAGAAATTGTTACACATGACTTGAGTGCAGAATTAATATAATCTATGCAAAAAATATGAAAAATTAAATGAGCACTATAGTGGTATAATTGCCTGCACTCAGAACATATGAATTATAGGTCAATTATTAATGTAAAGAAGGTTTACTGTGTGCTTTTTGTCATGGCATGCAAACATTTATTCACTCTATCATGTTCATGTGGCATAAATAACCTATCCCCTCAAACATGACATGATCCTAAACAGCAACTGTGGATAAGTTGTTGAGAAAACATCTGTGTTATGCTAATTCTTGGTTTACACAGGAATGAGAGTGTGTCCTTTGCCATGGCATGTACACTTCTCAGTCTGATTTGATGAAGTGTCAAACTAACATATCCCTCTCCTCTGAATATCCTGCACTACACAAGTGAGTTGTTAAGGAAATAAATTTTTGTTTTCTTACAAATTACACAGCCAAAGAATGTATAGGAAACACATGTACAGTACTCAAATGTTACATCATCATTACAGGTCGAGTATCCTCTATCCAAAAATCTGAAAATGACAATATCCCAAAAAAAGTTTTTCAATAGACCTTACTGTATGTGAATGCTGTATGAACGCATATTTCACGCTATCACACAATGAGCCAGGGCCAAAACCACTATATAGTATATTAAGGCGAGTCTGGCTGAAAATACGATGAAAATTGGAAAATTACAAAAATATTAAGAAAATTTTCTGAGGAAAGCCTATGGCTATCTGCGGACGTATTTTTATTGCATAATTCGTATGTAGCTATGCATGAATGTTCTACCCTCCACCTTTAATTTACTTTACACCAAAATATTATTATAAATATTTTTCTACAACTTTTGCTACATAAACAGAAGCAGTAAAAAAGTATTTATAATAATATTTTGGTGTAAAGTAATACCAATCACTTGATAAAAATCAGTATCTGGGACCTTTCTCAATTAGCTAGTAACAGGACGAGAGTCAGTTACCCATCAAACATGCGAGAGTGAGGTACGACCGTGAGTTGCTCTCGCGCCACCTTTATTGGCCTGTATCTCAAAACTAGTTTTTCTAACCTTCAAATCCCTAAGGCTCGGCCATTTACTTACTTTTACTTTTTTACTTTTATCTTTTATCCTCTTCGCCACTGATCGGCTTGTTAGCCGCTTGGGCGATCGGTCACGACTCTTTTCCTTTATATTCTTCACCAAAAGGTCGGCTCGCTAGCCGCCCGGGCGATCGGTCACGTCTCTGTCACGCACTGTTGGCAAATACTGGGCATGCACCGGCTCCTGAATGTACCTGAACCCGCTCCAGTGTTGGTCAAGTCTTCTCTTGAAAGAGCTCACACTCGGTGCCGTCACAACACTTTCTGGTAGATTGTTCCAAGAGTTTACAACCCTCACTCCGAAAAAGTTTGCCCTCACGGTTTTCCGGACTTGCGGCTTCTTCAATCTTGAGCTGTGACCCCTTGTGGGGCGAGCGTCCGCCAGCTCCAAGTAAGGACACTCAACTGAGTAGTGCCCCCTGAGATGCTTATAAACCTCAACTAGGTCCCCCCTTGCCCGTCTGTAGTATAAGCTAGGCAAGTTCAGGCGCTCCAATCTCGCAGGGTAGCTGAGATGCCGAAGTGCAGGCACCAGCTTGGTGGCCCTCCTTTGAACATTTTCAACCAACTGACAGTCCCTAGCATATCTCGGGGACCAGATGGGGTGACAGTACTCCAGATGGGGAAGCACTTCACTCCTGAAGATCGTCACGAGGGACGGACCGTCTAGATATCTGAACGACCTTCTTATAAGACCCAATAATTTATTTGCCTGATTTACCTTCTTCTCACAATGGCCCGAGAACTTCAGCTCATTGTCAACATACACACCTAGGTCCTTCTCACACACAGTCTCAACTAGTACATTTTCTTCATCCCGTTGGGACATATGGTACGCCTCCTTACCGTTGGTACGCCCCAGGTGCATCCTCTTACACTTCGTGACATTGAATCTCAGCAGCCATTCCTTCGACCATTCCTGGAGCCCACAGAGGTCCTTCTGCAGCTCTTCACAGTCCGCTTGGTTCTTAATTTCCCGAAATAACTTGGCGTCATCGGCAAACATTTGTATGGAGGAGTGTACAACGTCAGGCATATCATTTATGAAACAAACAAACAACAGCGGGCCCAATACACTACCCTGCGGTACCCCACTTGTTACAGGTACAGATGACGATTTCGTGCCATTAATCACCACACATTGCTTGCGGTCATGTAGAAAGTCTTCTATCCACGCTAGGACATTTCCCCGAATTCCGTACCCTTCCAGTTTGATTTTCAGCCTTTCGTGGGGTACACTGTCGAAAGCCTTGGCAAAATCTAGGTAAATATTGTCGATATTACCACCCCGTTCTAGAATATGGGTCCAAATATCCAATACCTTGAGCAATTGTGTCAAGCAAGAGCGCCCCGGCATAAAACCGTGTTGGCAATCTTTTACAAGGTTGTTTCGTAGTAGATGTTCCATCGCTGCATCTCTGATAATACTCTCAAGTACTTTACATATTATGCTGGTCAGGCTCACCGGTCTATAGTTGTTCGTGGAGTGCCTATCGCCCTTCTTGAAGATAGGACTCACATAAGCCACTTTCCATTCACTGGGGACCATTTGTTCATCCAGGCATTTACAAAACAGAATCTTCAGGGGCTCTGCAAGCTCGTTGCACAGCTCCCTTAGCACTCTAGGATGCACCATGTCAGGTCCAGGACTCTTATGGACCTTTAGCCTGGACAGTTTATTTCTAATACCCTCTTCTGTGAACACAATGTGGGTCAGTGCTGTGTCGAACCGTCTGTCCTCAAACGCAGGAAGGTTAGTTGCATCCTCTCTTGTGAACACTGAGGAAAAGAAGCTGTTCAATGCCTCAGCTTTATCCTGGTCAGAATCTGCGTAACTACCATCTTCAAGCCTCAGGTCTGATACTCCTACTCGCGTTTTCAATTTCGACTTTGCATTTATGGGCCGATTTTAATAAAACAAAAACTAAGTACTGGTAGTAGAATAACATATTGTGCATAGCTGAACATATAGATTTTCTTTATATTTGGCTTGGTTTATTATTTGCTAATTTATCTTTATAAAGATTTGGAGGGAAAAAAATTCATGCACCCAAAATAAAAGTGATAATCACAAGTGCAGTAATTTTATGTCACATTCGAGAGGATTAAATTACCTATACTCGTCATGAATTTCAACATAATCCAGCTAGAAGTTATGGAGAAGTAGGATTTTGAAAATTTATAAGAATATAAGGGGAAAATCAGGGATTAGGGATCAGGCTTAACAGATTCAGGGGTATGGCAACAATGTATCTGGTGTCCTTAATTGCCGACAGGAAATTTATATTGATTGATCAATTACTGTATTAATGAATTTCATGCTTCAGCCAGACGCTCCCCTTAAATGCAAATATAAATAGGACTGCAACAAAACACAACAGCTGCAATCATCTCGATTATCCAAGTAGACCGAAGGTCTTCAAACCTAAATGAAACATTAAATATCTTGAAAGAGAAGAAAAACGTGAACCTGAGCCATTTCTTCGTGATGTCACACACCACCAACATGAGGGGAAATAACTGCAAGCTCGCCAAGGAAATACTTTTTCACACAAAAGGCAGTAAACCTATGAAACAGTCTACCGTGGACTGTAATGGACTCTACCGTTGGCCCGTGCAAAATTTTTTCTATCTGACTGCATTTGGCCAAATTTTTCCATATTAGCCCGTCTCAACCTGTGCGTTTCTGCTGATGGTGTCCACACTTCTAACCTATCTAACCGTACTGACAATACAGTAAATTGCATTTTAGCAGCCTTTTTCTTACTATTAATGTCCTTTGTCAACAGATCTCTACCATTATAAATGCTGTTTTACTTGATCAGTTAATGTTTCAATTTCTCTTTCACATAAAATATGATGACTTTTGTTACAGTATACAACATTTTCCACTTGACCTCCCTGTTGCTATTATCATTTTTATTCTATGATTCTATGATTTACAGTACAGTATAGTCCTATCAATTTAGTATCAACCATTACAGTATACTTCTATCATTACAATATAAACCTGTTAACCAGGTTTTGTAAAGCCTTTTCACTTCTGGTAAGTATATGCAATAACAACAGTATCTGTACTGTACAGGGGTATTATCTGCATACCAAATATTTGATACCTGTATTACCACTTTACAATTAACCTTTATTTATTCTGTGATCCTCACAACTTCTCTAACTGAAAATTGAAAATAAGACATTATATGCTGCTACAAGTAGCACACAGCCTTGTCTAATTCTACGCCAACTTATAAGTTGATGGTTTACTAACACAGTAGCTTCCTGGTGCCTAGACACTGCTTACTTCTCTTTGAATGATCCAATTCAGAATATGGTAGCTGTTAAATCTTCCAAATGGTTCTTGTATCTCTTAATTAAACAAATGGAAACACAATAGAACCCCTTAAGACAATGTTGTGTAACAATAACTTTCAAGATGGGATAAACTGTGCACCCGCAACTGACGCTCAAAATGAGTCTTGTAATTTCATTCTGAATTACATCAGATTATAGTCTCTTAGAAGCTTTAGGTCAGGCACCAATATCAAGACTGAAATTGTTGTGTGAGTTACTGAGTTATGCACCATGAAGTTTAGGCACAGTGGTAAGTTATTAAAAACCAACTCTCCAACCATTCTGAAACTGGGTCACTCAATAAATGTAAACAAACTCTTGTAACATAATAAAAACTTCTACACCCAAAAATGCATGAGTAGTCAACAGTTGAGCATACTGTCTACAATACTGTACTATAAAAGTATGGAGTGGTTAGTACTTAGCTGTCAGAAGATATGGAACAAAGCAGAGGCATCTCCTCATGATGCACAGTTGATTGGAATTGAGGGGTCAACCAGCAAAATGACAATTTTGAGCAGTCACAG